GGTAGGACCGGCGGGGCCCGGGGTGGGCACAGCAGCCCTGCACCCCCGGGCGTTGCGGCTGCGGATGCTGGAACAGCCGCCCCGAGGGTGTTGGGGACGCCCCAAGCGGGTGGCCTGGGGCAGCCCGGGGATCCACATCCCTGCGGGGTCCCCCTGGCCATGGGGAACTCCTGTGGCTGAAGTGGTGACAGGTTTCACCCTCCTGTGCACACCACGGGCTCTGCTTTGCCCTCGAGCTGCCCCGGGCTGTCACTGGGCCCAGCGGTGCGTGCCGGCTGCCCCAGGGCATGGATTTGGGACCCCCGCTGGGCACCCGGGGGACGTGGGGCAGGTGGCAGAGGACAGAGGTGGCCCGCTGTCTGTGTGCCGGTGGCAGCCCTGGATGCCCTGTCCGGGATGGAGAGGTTTCCTCAGCAGAGATCACTCACACAGCATCCCCGGAATTGGACACAAATCCCGGGACATCGAGCCCGGGATGGGACGAGCGAGGAGGGGGCTGCGGGGTGCCCAGAGAGCGAGGGGGCTTCAACTGCACCCGGAGACGTTGCATCCCAGGCAGGGTCTGCCTTAAATCCCTCCTCCCTCCTCCCTCCCTCCCTGGCGAGGAACTTCTCCCGCTGAACTGGAGGATGCTGCAAAGCTCCTGCGGACGAGCCGGAGGAGTCCTGTGGCAAAGTCAAGGCGAGCGGGGAAGCGGCGTGTTCGTGCCGGGTGTCACCGCAGCCCCTGCCGCCAGCCCAGCCTGCAGCGGCCGGTGTCACCTCCAGGACCGTGAGTGGCCTTGCGGGCGGGAGGTGCGGGGTCTGCGGGGGGCAGCGGGGCTTTCCCCGCCGCCCACGTTTAACCTTCAGCGAGCCCGGCCGGGGCCGGGGCTGCTGCTGCTCGGCTCCGGCAGCGGCTCGGCGTGGGCAGGGAGGGGACATCCCGGGGTGGGGGTCCCCGCAGCCCCCCTCTGCCCGGGTGGAGGCGGAGGAGTGGGAGCAGCAGCAACTCGCTGTGGCGTTGGGGGGGCAGCGGGGCACCCCCGGCAGGTCCCGGCTGCAGGGGGGTCCTGGGTGGTGGGTGCTCGGCTCCGTGGGCAGCACCCGGCCCGTCTGTGTCCCCCGGCAGCGGGGCCGGTCACCCCCTCCCCAGGGAGCCGGGGTGCCCTCGGCCACACAACGCGGGGACACCCCACGCCGGTGGGATGGGGCGGGAAGGGAAACCCAACTCCTGGACACCTCGGCATGGCAGTTCGGCCACGCACGGGGCGAAGCGCTGACCAGCACGGCCGGCTGCACCAGGGCCCCGCAGCCCCGAGGCGGGCAGTGCCGCAGGCGAAGGGGCGGCCGGACGGGAGCCGGGGTGCTCCCGCAGGCACCCTGTGCCAGAGCTCCCCTCACACCCACCTCCCTCCTCCTCGCTGGGCCTCTTGGTAGGTTTTAAGCCCCTCGGCAGCTGGAGCAGCTGCTGCAGTGGGTTTGCCGGGGATGGATGAGCGAGGGGAGCCGGCTGGGGGGGCAGTGCTGGAGGGGAAAACTTGGAAGGGCCCCTGCGAGGCAGCGGCTGCAGAGCGCGGCCGGACACGCGGCGCCGGCGGAGCGGGGAAAAAAGACGCTTCCTTTTATAGCCAGGCTGGGGTTGTTGGGTGCCTGCAGGCGCGTGGGTGCCACCACGGCCGGCCCCGGCAGCCCCCCGGCTCCTCTGCCTCCCCCTGCAAGGCCGTCAGACCCCCGTGCCCACAAACCACCCTGCCCAGGACAGGGAGCTGCTCCCGGGCAGGTGGAGAACACGGGGGCTGCCCAGGTCGGGGGCTGCCCAGGTCGGGGGCTGCCGGCCGACGTGAGGGCGCAGAGAAGGCGTGGGAGACGGGCTGCTCTCTGGCGGGTTTCGGCTCGGGGATGTTTCTGCAGCCGCCAAGGGCAGTGCTGGGGCTGGGGAGGAGTCGGGGCTGCCTGCAGTGATGGGGCACTTCCAAGGCTGCAGAGGGACTTGTGATGACTGGGATGTCTGGCCACAGAGAGGGCAGTGGGGCAGAACCGGGCTGTGGGACAGGGCAGGAGGGGTGGTGGGACTGGGGGAGATGGGGAGCCCGAGATGCAGAGAGCACCAGCAGAGCTGGGTGCAGCCCTCCAAGGTCACTGGGAGAGCCCGGCCTAGGGCTGTGGGAACTGTGCCACAGGATGGGGCTGTGTGGCCCCCCCGGGCTGGGGCACCTCTAGTACCAAGTCCTGGGAGGCTGCCAAGGTCAGCCGACTGGAGCTGAACTGGGCTGGGATGCAGGAGCGCTGACCCTGTGCCCTGGCTTTCGGGATTTGGACTGGGTGCAGCCACTGGATTTTGCCTCCCAGTGCACCCCAACAGCCCCGCCAGTCCCTGGAACCCGGTACTTCCACAGAAAAACCTTATGGCATCATCCCACTGCGCTGCAGGGCCGGCACAGCTCCAAGGGTTAAGGGGGTGCATCTCTGCAACCTCCGGCCTCAGGACACCCCTCAGTTTGCTTTTGGGGGAAACAGGGCTGCTGGTTCAGCCAGACCCACTCATCTCCACCACTGCTGCTGGGTTGGGGGCTTGTCTTGGGTCCTGGGAGCCGTGTCTGGGATCCCCAGGGCTGGGTCTCTGGGGACTGGCCATGCAGAAGGTCCTGGGGTGCTGGCAGGGCATCCTGAGGGGACCACGGTTGTGCTGGCAGCCACCCTGTGTCCCGTGGCAATAGCTGGTGGCTCAGAGGGCCACTGAGCAGCACCTCTGCTGCCTGTGGGTGCTGTGAGTGGGGCTGGTGACGTGAGGCTGTACTTGGCACCCACCGGCTCCTTGCAGGAGCTGCGGCGCGTGTGGCCACAGCTCCCGGCGCTGAGTCACGGCCACACCACGCTCAGCCAGCCCCACATCCCTCCTGCTCGGGGCTGGGCCCCTCATGCACCCCTTGCTCCCCTGTCCTGCCAGGGGACAGCCCTGGGAACCCCAGGACACTCCCTGTACCTGCCCCTGCCCCTCTCCAGCTGCAAATTTAGCAGAAGGAAGGTCACAGGGTGAAGGTGCATCTGGGTGATGGTGACACTTGTCCCTATGTCACCCTGCCCTGGCCACACTGTGCTGGGGCCAGGGAGCCTCCCTGCAGCCCCATTATGGTCTCAAGCCCCTGAACTCTCAGCTGAATTCCCTCCCGTGGGCAGAGGCATCTCCAGCCTCCCTGGTCCAGAGCTGTGGTGTGGGGAGGGGGTGGGGAGGGGGTGGGGAGGGGGTGGGGAGGGCCCACCCAGACCCCCAGGTCCTCCCCTGGGCAAGGGGGTGGGTTGTGGGAGGTGGGTCTCCCCCAACACTGGCCCCAGCTGCACTGAGCTGCAGCTGCTGCTCTGGCACACGGACAGGGGGACGTGGGGTGCAGGAGGTCCTGGGGGGTGCTGGGGTGGTGTGGGGTGATGGGGAAGGTGAGCTGGTGCATCCTGACCCAGCTCAGCAGCAGTGGCAGCAGCAGGGGTGATCCCTGCCAAGCCAAGAGCCAGGGCCGATGGGGGCCCCTGCTGTGGAATTAGCTCCAAGCACAGGTGCCCACCTTTGCCGTGCGTGCTGGCCTGTGTGGGCTCACAGGACACGGCCCTTGGCTGTGCCCCCATCTCCTCGGGGGTGCAGCCCCACAGGTGCCCCCACTGCCACAAACTCTGTCACAGCCTGGAGCATCTGACCACCCTCAAAGGGCAGCTGCCCCCCAAAACAGCAGCCTGAGCATCCTCTGGCCGGCGAGGGGCTCTGGGTCCGAGGCACAGGCGTTGGCCGTGGCACTGCCTCGCTCTCTGAACATGGATCTCCGTGCCCGGGGCTGAGAGTGGCTGCGGGCACAGCAGGGCTGTAGGAGCCCTGCCTCCGCCTGGGCTGCACCGGGCAGGGGCCGAGGCCGGGTCTGGGAGTGGGCAGGAGGTGCTTCCTGGATCCTTCCTGCTCCTTCCAGGATCCCGGTGGAGCTGGTGGGCACGGCTGGGAGCAGCGGGCAGCCCCAGCCCCGCACTGCCCACCTCTCCCTCCCAACCCTACATACTTCTTCATATGCCCATATGGAGTCGGCCGGCGTTATGGAATGTTAAGAAGTATGTATTTTTGGGCTGGGACCCCCACGCCAGGATTCCCCATCGCCAGCACCGTCCCGGCGGCGCCTCCGGAGAGACGATGCGTCCCTGGGGCTGGTAAAAAGGAACCAGATCAACTTGCAACTGGATTTGGTCCCCTTCAACCAGCTGCAGCGGCGCGTGAGCCACGGCACCCGCTGCCCTTCGCTGCCCCGGGGGCTGCGCTGTCCTGCCCTGAGGGGGCTCGGGGTCAGGAGAGGGGTCAGGGAGCGGGAGAGGGGGGGGGTTGCAAAAGGGGGCTTTGGCTGCTTTTTGAGGCTGTGTGGAGCCCCGGTGGAGCGGAGGCAGGCGGAGGGGCTGCAGCTCCGCTGCCCGCCGGTGGAAGTCCCAGCGCTGCTCAGACTGCCCGGGCTCCTCATCAACCCCGCGCGGCTTCGCCGGTCCCAAACCTGCTCGGGAAACGCCCCGTGAAGCCGCAGCTGCCAAGGAAGGCACAGGGGTGAGGAGCCCCCCGGCCCCGCGAGGGGACAGAGGGGAGAGCGTTCCCCGCGGGGGAAGCCCCAGGATCCGACCCCCGTGTGAGGAATTGTGCGATGATTCGTGTCAATAAAGAGTGTTTATTCAAACTGCCAAATATGCGATGGAAATGTACCGCTAAAAATGCTTATGCAATTATGCTTTTGGCAAACATATATCACTATAGGCAAATAAGACTTGAAAATACACCGCTTATGTATGTAACGGGTAAACATGGATGTGTAAAGAAAGAGGTTATCAAAGGACAAGAAAGGGAAGACTTGAGCTTTTGTCCCTCAACTCCAGAGGGACACCTAAAACCACCAATAAAAGAGCATGGGTCTGAGAAGCGAAAGTGACGTCACAACCCAGAAAACGAAACTGGGCGGTAACTTTCCTGGAACAAAGGTATAAAAGGGCTGCAAAGCCCTCTGTGAAGTGTGTGCTGGCGAAGCTGAGGCTCCCTTTGGCACCCAGCGCTGCTTTACTCATTCCTTATCGAATAAACAGCCTTGCTGCTAAGAATCCTTGATTACCAGCTTCGTTTATAACAGCCCCGCTCCAGCAGAGCCAGCAGCATCAAAAGGTAACGCTGACACAGAGAGCAAAGGGCAGCGAGCGGTTCCCCGTCAATCGGCTGTGCCGACATCCCCTGGGGGACCTTTCCAGCAGCGCTTTGCCCCTCAGGGCACAGGTGGGTGGTGTGGGGGGTCGGGGTCCCGCGATGGGTGTTTGGGGACAGCACCCCTTATCTGAAGGGGGGGGGGCCAAAACCGAGGGGCTGCTCACCCCGCTGGACTGGCAGAGCAGCCAGAGAGCCCTGGGCGGGGAAGAAATGTGGGGTCCGGGGGTCTCTGCTTTTGTGGGGTGGCCGGGGGCTCCTGGGTGGGAGGGGGGTGTCTGTGGCTGTTCGTGCAGGACAGCAAAGCCCCTCCAGCCCCGCTCGCCGCCCACGAAGAAATTCCTGTTCTTGCAGCCCAAAGGAAGGTCCCAGCTCAGAGCACACCCGGCACAGCTCCCCCTCCAGGCCAGCCCACCATGGGTAAGTTGGGTGGCGGGTGGGGTCGGGGGCACGGAATCTGCAGAGGGACAGCGTGGGAGACACGGGGACCCCGAGTGTGTCCCTTCTCCCCTCTCCTCCCGGGCGGGGGGGCAGCGGGGCCGGTGCCATCAGTGGTCGTTTCCCAGGGGTCTTCAGGGTGAGGGGCAGCTGATAACAATATTCCAGGTAACAAACCCAAGAGAATTCAGGCAGGTGTCTGATCCCAAGGTCTCTCCCAGGCAGCCTGGCAGGTGCTGGGAAGCCCCCACAGATCCCCAGTGACTCAGCTGCCCTCTTGAGAGCTGGGGATGTGCTGGAGCAGAGCGAGGGGCTGGCAAGGTGGTGGCTGAGTTTGTTCTAAACTGTGTTTGATTCACCTTGTGCTGGTGACAGGTGACACACTGGGCTGACACGGGCTGTGTGTTCTGGGTCAGTGGGGTGCATTGGGCAGGGCAGGTCAGGGCAGGGTGTCTGTGGGCAGTGGGATGTGCAGGGGCCGGGGTGAGCTGAATGCAGGGGGGCCTGGGGGAGCTGCTGCTCCCACCCCCTGCCCTGCCTGGCACAGAGCACTGAGATCAGTCTGGGACAAGCTTTACTGCCCTCCTGTCATTTTCCTTCTTAGTATGGGGAGTAGCTGAAGCCCTTGGAGCTGCAGTTGGAGCAGGTGAGTGAGGGTCTGGCAGTGGCTGAGCAGTGCTCGGGTTCACTGCCCAGTGCCAGCCCCGTCTGGGTGTGGGGACTGGGCTGGGCTGGGGCTGGAAGTGCTGGGGAGAATTGGGGTGCTGCTGTGGAGGAGGGGGCAGCACTGGCCTGGAATCAGTGCTGCAGCCCTGCCCACTGTTCCTGTCCTGCCCAGGGTGGGGTGTCCCTGCACCCCACAGTCCTCGCTCCCCGCCCTGACCCCTCAGTCCTTTTGGGGAGGCGGGTTCTGGGGCACTGGTGGCAGGGGGAGGTGTGGGGCACAGAGAGCACCCTAATGCTGTGGTGTCCTCCCTGCAGGAGTGGCACTGGTTGCCGCCCCGGCGGTCGTTGCTGGGCTGGGGTTCACCGCAGGCGGCATCGCCGCTGGATCCATCGCTGCCAAGATGATGTCGGCAGCTGCCATCGCCAACGGAGGGGGAGTGGCAGCCGGCAGCACCGTGGCTGTGCTGCAGTCCATCGGTGAGTGGGAGGGCAGGGCAGCTGGGCTGCACTGGGTTCCTGCCCTCAGGAACACGGGGCTATACCCTGGCCTTGCTGTAGGGCCAAACCAGCCCCTTGAGCTGTCACGGGTTGGAATCGCTCCATGGCTCCCTCTGCCCAGGAGAAGTCCTTGGCTGTCCTTGCCCCGTGCCCAGTCCCTCAGCAGGGAGCCTTAATGCTGCTGGGACATCACTCTTCCATCTGTTCTGGCAGGAGCTGCAGGTTTCTCTCTTGGTGCCGAAGTTGGGCTGGGGTCACTCGGGGCAGCAGCCGGTGCCCTGGTAGAGAAAATCGCCGGTTGACAAACCCACGGAGGGAGCAGCTCCAGGTGCGGAATCCAAGAGAAGTGCTGATCCTGAGGAGTTGCCAGGCAGCGTGGCACGTGATGGGAAGTCCCCACAGACCCCACCCTCTCAAAAGCTTTGGATTCCCCTGAGCAATGAGTGCCCTGAAGCCAATAAAGTTGCTTTGCCTGCAGCAGAGATGGTGTTGCTGTGTTACTGGGGCTGAGGGATTTGCAGCCTGGGGACACACGGGTGCCTGCAGGACGTCACCACTGCTGCTCTGTGACCCTGGACTCCTACAGCTGTGGTGCCACTAACCCTGCTGCCTCCTCTGGGCTTCAGCAGAGCAGGAAATGCAGCCAGACCCATGGCTGGTGTGTGGCCCAGGCCCATGGTGGGAGGGTGGCTGGCAGGAGCCTGGTGGCCATGGCACAGTCGGTTTGTGCCCACGAAGAAACTCCTGTTCTTGCTCCCCAAAGGAAGGTCCCAGCTCAGAGCACACCCGGCACTGCTCCCCCTCCAGGCCAGCCCACCATGGGTAAGTTGGGTGGCTGGTGGGGTCGAGGGCATGGCCCCTGCAGAGGGACAGTGTGGGGGACACGGGGACCCCGAGTGTGTCCCTTCTCCCCTCTCCTCCTGGGTGGGGGGACAGCGGGGCCGGTGCCATCAGTGGTCTGTTCCCGGGGGTCTGTGGGGCCAGGGGAAAGGTGAAGGAGGGGGACGTGGCTGGGAGAGCTGCTGCTGGCACTGTGCCCTTGTCCTTCCTGGCAAAGGGTCCTGGGCTCCTCCCAGGCTAAGTTTCCTGCCTGCCCTCCTGCCGTTTCAGTTTCACTCTTCGCCGTGAGACACAGAAGTAACGGAGCCCGATCGGAGCAGGTGAGGGTCTGGCACTCGGGTTCACTGCCTGCACCCAGCCCTGTCTGCTTCTGGGGGACCTGGCTGGGCTGGGGACTGTGAGTGCTGGGGCTGGGGAGACTTGTAATGTTGGTGTGAGGGAGGGGCAGCACTGGCCTGGAACTGCAGGTTTCTCTCTTAATGCCAAAATAGTGCTGACATCTACCCTGGTGTCACTCGGTGCAGCAAACGGTGCCATGATGGCAAATACAGTCCTGGAAACCCGGGTGGAAACAAGGGAAGATGAGGAGATATCTCCACATAAGAATTTTGAGGAGGAAAATGAATATTACGGATTGGAGTCGGTGCCAATTGCATTTGAGGAACCTGAGAAGACCAGTCCCGGTGGCAGAGGTGAGGATTACAATATTCCAGGTAACAAACCCAAGAGAATTCAGGCAGCTGCCTGATCCCAAGGTCTCTCCCAGGCAGCCTGGCAGGTGCTGGGAAGCCCCCACAGATCCCCAGTTAAGACCTGGGGATGTGCTGGAGCAGAGCGAGGGGCTGGCAAGGTGGTGGCTGAGTTTGTTCTAAACTGTGTTTGATTCACCTTGTGCTGGTGACAGGTGACACACTGGGCTGACACGGGCTGTGTGTCCTGTGCTGTTCTGGGTCAGTGGGGTGCATTGGGCAGGGCAGGGCAGGGCAGGGTGTCTGTGGGCAGTGGGATGTGCAGGGGTTGGGGTGAGCTGAGTTCAGGGGGGCCTGGGGGAGCTGCTGCTCCCACCCCCTACCCTGCCCTGCCTGGCACAGGGTACTGGGCTAAGTCTGGGATGAGCTTTGCTGCCCTCCTGTCATTTTCCTTCTTAGGATTGAGAAAGAGAGCTAAAAGAGCCACCAATGGAGTCACAGTCGGAGCAGGTGAGTGAGGGTCTGGCAGTGCTCGGGTTCACTGCCCAGTGCCAGCCCCGTCTGGGTGTGGGGACTGGGCTGGGGCTGGGAGTGCTGGGGAGAATTGGGTGCTGCTGTGGAGGAGGGGGCAGCACTGGCCTGGAATCAGTGCTGCAGCCCTGCCCACTGTTCCTGTCCTGCCCAGGGTGGGGTGTCCCTGCACCCCACAGCCCTCGCTCCCCGCTCTGACCCCTCGGTCCTTTTGGGGAGGCGGGTTCTGGGGCTCTGGTGGCAGGGGGAGGTGTGGGGCACAGAGAGCACCCTAATGCTGTGGTGTCCTCCCTGCAGGAGTGGCACTGGCTGCTGCCCAGGAATGAATCTCCTCCTAGTCAGGGGGGCAGCGGGGCTGGTGCCATCAGTGGTTGGTTCCCAGGGGTCTGTGGGGCCAGGGGAAAGCTGAACGAGAGGGATGGGGCTGGGAAATCTACTGCTGGCACTGTGCCCTTGCCCTACCTTGCAAAGGGCACTGGGCTCTGCCTGGACACATTTTCCTGCCTGCCCTCCTGCCGTTTAACTCTTCACCGTGAGACACAGAGGTAACAGAGCCCGATCGGAGCAGGTGAGGGTCTGGCACTTGGGTTCACTGCCTGCACCCAGCCCTGTCTGCTTCTGGGGGACCTGGCTGGGCTGGGGACTGTGAGTGCTGGGCCGGGGAGACTCAGAATGTTGGTGTGAGGGAGGGGCAGCACTGGCCTGGAACTGCAGGTTTCTCTCTTAGTACCAAAATTGGGCTGACATCTACCCTGGTGTCACTTGGTGCAGCAAAAGGTGCCAAGATGTCCAAGAGGAAGCCAACTTTGGATGAGGAATCTGAGGAGGAGACAACTCCAGATGACAAATCTGAGGAGGAGAACAAGAGTACAGGTGGGGAATCGAAGAAGACTAGACCAGGCGACAAACCTGGGAATAGCAGTAATCCTGGTAGCAATAATCCAGGTGGCAAAGGTGAGGATTACAATATTCCAGGTAACAAAACCAAGAGAATTCAGGCAGGTGCCTGATCCCAAGGTCTCTCCCAGGCAGCCTGGCAGGTGCTGGGAAGCCCCCACAGATCCCCAGTGACTCAGCTGCCCTCTTGAGAGCTGGGGATGTGCTGGAGCAGAGCGAGGGGCTGGCAAGGTGGTGGCTGAGTTTGTTCTAAACTGTGTTTGATTCACCTTGTGCTGGTGACAGGTGACACACTGGGCTGACACGGGCTGTGTGTCCTGTGCTGTTCTGGGTCAGTGGGATGCATTGGGCAGGGCAGGGCAGGGCAGGGTGTCTGTGGGCAGTGGGATGTGCAGGGGCCGGGGTGAGCTGAATGCAGGGGGGCCTGGGGGAGCTGCTGCTCCCACCCCCTGCCCTGCCTGGCACAGAGCACTGGGTTCAGCCTGGGATGAGCTTTACTGCCCACACTCCTGTCTTCCTGCCATTTTCCTTCTTAGACTGGAAAACACTTGCCAAAAGAGCCGCCATTGGAGCTGCCATTGGAGCCGTAATTGGAGCAGGTGAGTGAGGGTGTGGCAGTGGCTGAGCAGTGCTCGGGTTCACTGCCCAGTGCCAGCCCCGTCTGGGTGTGGAGACTGGGCTGGGCTGGGACTGGGAGTGCTGGGGAGAATTGGGGTGCTGCTGTGGAGGAGGGGGCAGCACTGGCCTGGAATCAGTGCTGCAGCCCTGCCCACTGTTCCTGTCCTGCCCAGGGTGGGGTGTCCCTGCACCCCACAGTCCTCGCTCCCCGCCCTGACCCCTCAGTCCTTTTGGGGAGGCCGGTTCTGGGGCTCTGGTGGCAGGGGGAGGTGTGGGGCACAGAGAGCACCCTAATGCTGTGGTGTCCTCCCTGCAGGAGTGGCACTGGTTGGCACCCCAACGGTCGCTGTTAAGGTGGGGTTAACTGCAGTCAAAATTCTGCTGAGTTCACTGTGAAGATGATGTCAGAACCTGCCATTGCCAAGGGTGACCAACCCAAGGAGGGAGCAGCTCCAGATGCAGAACCCAAGAGAGGTGTTGATCCTGAGGAGTTGCCAGGCAGTGTGGCAGGTGCTGGGAAGCCCCCACAGACCCCACCCTCTCAAAAGCTTTGGATTCCCCTGAGCAATGAGTGCCCTGCAGCCAATAAAGTTGCTTTGCCTGCAGCAGAGATGGTGTTGCTGTGTTACTGGGGCTGAGGGATTTGCAGCCTGGGGACACAAGGGTGCCTGCAGGACGTCACCACTGCTGCTCTGTGACCCTGGACTCCTACAGCTGTGGTGCCACTAACCCTGCTGCCTCCTCTGGGCTTCAGCAGAGCAGGAAATGCAGCCAGACCCATGGCTGGTGTGTGGCCCAGGCCCATGGTGGGAGGGTGGCTGGCAGGAGCCTGGTGGCCATGGCACAGTCGGTTTGTGCCCACGAAGAAACTCCTGTTCTTGCTCCCCAAAGGAAGGTCCCAGCTCAGAGCACACCCGGCACTGCTCCCCCTCCAGGCCAGCCCACCATGGGTAAGTTGGGTGGCTGGTGGGGCACGGCCCCTGCAGAGGGACAGTGTGGGGGACACGGGGACCCCGAGTGTGTCCCTTCTCCCCTCTCCTCCTGGGTGGGGGGACAGCGGGGCCGGTGCCATCAGTGGTCTGTTCCCGGGGTCTGCGGGGCCAGGGGAAGGAGGGGGATGTGGCTGGGAGAGCTGCTGCTGGCACTGTGCCCTTGTCCTTCCTGGCAAAGGGTCCTGGGCTCCTCCCAGGCTGTTTCCTGCCTGCCCTCCTGCCGTTTCAGTTTCACTCTTTGCTGTGAGACACAGAGGGAGCGGAGCCCGATCGGAGCAGGTGAGGGTCTGGCACTCGGGTTCACTGCCTGCACCCAGCCCTGTCTGCTTCTGGGGGACCTGGCTGGGCCAGGGGCTGCGAGTGCTGGGCCGGGGAGACTCAGAATGTTGGTGTGAGGGAGGGGCAGCACTGGCCTGGAACTGCAGGTTTCTCTCTTAGTGCTGAAATCGGGCTGACATCTACCCTGGTGTCACTCGGTGCAGCAAACGGTGCCATGATGTCCAAGAGGAAGCCAACTGTGGATGAGGAACCCAAGGGGGAGACAACTCCAGATGAGGAATCTGAGGAGGAAAACAAGAGTACAGATGGGGAATCCAAGAAGACTAGTCCAGGAAGAAAACCTGAGGATAACATTAATCCTGGTGGCAATAGTCCAGGTGGCAATCCTGGCGATAACAATAATCCTGGTGGCAATAATCCAGGTGGAAAAGGTGAGGATTACAATATTCCAGGTAACAAAACCAAGAGAATTCAGGCAGGTGCCTGATCCCAAGGTCTCTCCCAGGCAGCCTGGCAGGTGCTGGGAAGCCCCCACAGATCCCCAGTGACTCAGCTGCCCTCTTGAGAGCTGGGGATGTGCTGGAGCAGAGCGAGGGGCTGGCAAGGTGGTGGCTGAGTTTGTTCTAAACTGTGTTTGATTCACCTTGTGCTGGTGACAGGTGACACACTGGGCTGACACGGGCTGTGTGTCCTGTGCTGTTCTGGGTCAGTGGGGTGCATTGGGCAGGGCAGGGCAGGGCAGGGTGTCTGTGGGCAGTGGGATGTGCAGGGGCCGGGGTGAGCTGAATGCAGGGGGGCCTGAGAGAGCTGCTGCTCCCACCCCCTGCCCTGCCTGGCACAGGGCACTGGGCTCAGCCTGGGATGAGCTTTACTGCCCTCCTGCCTTTTTCCTTCTTAGTATGGAAAACAATTGCCAAAAGAGCTGCAATTGGAGCTGCAATTGGAGCAGGTGAGTGAGGGTGTGGCAGTGGCTGAGCAGTGCTCGGGTTCACTGCCCAGTGCCAGCCCCGTCTGGGTGTGGGGACTGGGCTGGGCTGGGGCTGGAAGTGCTGGGGAGAATTGGGGTGCTGCTGTGGAGGAGGGGGCAGCACTGGCCTGGAATCAGTGCTGCAGCCCTGCCCACTGTTCCTGTCCTGCCCAGGGTGGGGTGTCCCTGCACCCCACAGCCCTCGCTCCCCGCCCTGACCCCTCAGTCCTTTTGGGGAGGCCGGTTCTGGGGCGCTGGTGGCAGGGGGAGGTGTGGGGCACAGAGAGCACCCTAATGCTGTGGTGTCCTCCCTGCAGGAGTGGCACTGGTTGGCATCCCAGCGTGCATTTCTGCACTGGGGTTCAAGGCAGGCGGCATCGCCGCTGGATCCATCGCTGCCAAGATGATGTCGGCAGCTGCCATCGCCAACGGAGGGGGAGTGGCAGCCGGCAGCACCGTGGCTGTGCTGCAGTCCATCGGTGAGTGGGAGGGCAGGGCAGCTGGGCTGCACTGGGTTCCTGCCCTCAGGAACACGGGGTTATACCCTGGCCTTGCTGTAGGGCCGAACCAGCCCCTTGAGCTGTCACAGGTTGGAATTGCTCTGAACTCTCCAGGCTCCCCCTGCCCAGGAGAAGTCCTTGGCTGTCCCTGCCCCATGCCCGGTCCCCCAGCAGGCAGCCTCAATGCTGCTGGGACATCACTCTTCCATCTGTCTTGGCAGGAGCTGCAGGTTTCTCTCTTGGTGCCAAACTTGGGCTGACAAGTGCCTTGGGGTCACTCGGGGCAGCAGCCGGTGCTTCGCTGCCCTTGAGGAAGAAGACTCTGAGTGACAAACCCAAGAAAAGTTAACTCCAGGTGACAAACCCAAGGAGGGAGCAGCTCCAGATGCAGAACCCAAGAGAGGTGCTGATCCTGAGGAGTTGCCAGGGACTGTGGCAGGTGCTGGGAAGCCCCCCCCGACCCCACCCTCTCAAAAGCTTTGGATTCCCCTGTGCAATGAGTGCCCTGAAGCCAATAAAGGTGCGTTGCCTGCAGCAGAGATGGTGTTGCTGTGTTACTGGGGCTCTTGGGTGATGGTGCCACTCGAGGGTGACAGAACACAGGTGACATTTGGGCCCAAGGACTGACCTGAACCAGCAGTTCCCCTGCCCTGGGTGTGGGGAAGGTTTGTACCTACAGCCCATCCCAGAGGAGCAGGACTGAGCGTGAGCTGCCAAACGCCTCGTGGGAAGGGCCAAGTGTTGCTGTCCAGGTCTGCAGCTGCAATTGTAGCACTGGATTAAAACCAGTTCAGCCCTCCCCACCTGAAATCTGTGAGATTCTGCTTCTAAACTTAGATTCCAACATCATACAGAAAAGGAGGATGCACTCTTCTAGTAAGGTTAAAGGTTTTTAATCACTTTTCCAGAGTACAGATACAACTGAAACAAAAACTATTCTGGGGGTCTCAATAATTCACTTATTATTACCATACATTGAACTCTATAAATTCTTATATAAGAAAAAGTCTTTTTAATATAGGTTATGATGCAGTGGTGACCTAGTTACATCTTTTGAAGTAACACTTTGCAGTTATATAGCACCTTTCATCATGGGGCTGCAAAGCATCCTATGGAATTCTGCCTCATAATGCCCAAAACGAGGTAGAAAAGTCTGGCCAATTTACAGAGGTACAACCCAGGTGCAGATTGGGAGGGATGAGATGTGAGGCATCATTGATCCAACACCAGTGAATCCAACAGGGAAGTGGATGCTGGAGCCTGGGCTGGGTGATGGGTGGGTGGCTTAGCCAGGGAGAAAGGTCAGGGGCCATCACCCTCACCCTCCTCTCCAAAGCAGCTGCCCGGCTCCCAGCAGCTCAAAAAGACCTTTTCAAATAGTTCTGGCTTTTTGTGTTACAAATATGCAGGAGAGAGGATAAAAAGTCCAGGACTTGCAGGCCCAAGCCCCTTCATTGACTAAGTACCAAGAGTTAACCAACCCGGGGTGACTCGTCCCACCCACATCCACACGGATCTGCCAGGATTAAAATTGTGCCCTTGGGATGCATTTTGAGATTTGGGGTGTGATGCTCTGTCTAACTTCACTGTTTCATTGCCCTAAATTCCCTTTTCCCTCCTGGCAGGTGACAATCAGGTAACTCAGGTTTTGTTTCTTTAATAAAAGCCGAATCTCTGCTGAAAATCCATCAGCTTAGGGAATGTGATTCCAATGGACATTTGAGTTCTGTGGTTAGGAGAATCCAAGCTGCCAGAGTTCCTTTGAGACTTCATGACTTTAAAAACCCTTCTACAGCTGTGCAACACTCCCTGGAGCAGAGCCAGCACCGGTGCCAGGGGCTGAGCACCAAGGACCTCCGGGGCGAGATGTTTTGAATACAAAACTATGAATCCCAGACACTTCAATATTTATATGAGTTTTTTGCCACATACTATCAATTACCTGCCTGCCCAAAGCACCTTCCCAGCACCCTGCAATGGCTCCTTTGCCACTTGCTCTTCCTGGGATGTCCAAAATTGTTCCCTCAGAAAGCACAACACAATAGAAACGTCCTGGAAAGTGTCTCGGGAGTGTGGTGGGGAAACTCAAGAGAAAAAGGCAAATTCTCACAGCTCAGCCAGGTGCCACGGGATGAAGTTAGAGGGACTGTTTGTGCCAGTGGTCAGACTCAGTAATTTCTTCCTTAGTTTAAAAAAATCCACCTAAAAAAAAGGGTTGGAGTCAACTGAGTAACAAACATAATTGTGCAAAACCATTCAGGCATTGCAAGGTTGATGATGCTCAGGGCTCCTACTGCCAGGGGGCAGCTCTTTGTTTCAAAGACAGAATATCTTAATTTTGCCTCTGAAATGTTTAAAATGGATGATACATTGAAGAAAAACTGGAGAGGAACCTGTTTGTGCCAAGGGGAGCCAATCTCCAACCTCACCCAGGGGTTACGAGCTCCACAAGCATCCGATACATGAATTTGTTCCAGGTTTGTTTGTTAAGGCAACACCAAAACTACTTCTCAGGGGACTGAGGAGAGCTACTGAGACTGTTATCAAAAAACTTTATTGCACATTCAGTCACCTCTGTGACCCTGGCACAGAAGTGGCACCGAGGGAGCTCCTGCTGCAGAGCACACCCAGGCCACGGGGCACGAGGGACTTTGCTACTGATTTAAAGTCTCTGAGGGGCTGGAGACTATTCCAGAGAAATCCAAGGGCATCTTTTAGAGCAGTATTTGGCAGAACAATTCCTAAGATAATTTAACTTCCTTTTGCACTTAATTCTGTGGTTTTCAAAGCACCCTCAGTTTCCTGCTTTTGTGAACCAAAGCCAGGAGGTTCAAAACCTGGAGCGGCAGGTTTGTCAGAGCACCTCCCCCAGCAGGACCTGCTGGCACACTGAGGGCAGGAGCTTTTGGCATTTCTTTCTCACACCCATCTTTGCTTCTTCTCTGTCCACACTGAGACTACAGCAGCATTTTTCTCATATTAAAAAACTATTTCAGTAGACCGTGTTGTGCACTCAGCACAACTGAGTCAGAAATGTTGATTAAAAGGAAGTTTGTGTTCAGAACTTTGAGCCTGTGTGTACGATCTACAAATATATTTTAATCCTTCAAGGTAATCCTTCCTGTAATCAGTATGAATTCGAGCTGACAAGAAATCCCTCAGGAGGCAAAAAAAGTCCAGGCTGACCCTGGACAAGGCCAATCATTGCCAAAGGACCTCCAAACAGCAGTGAAAGTGAAACTACTCATGTTAATTATTACCATAAAACTGCACTGAAACGTTCCTTATCTCAGAGCCACCAGGTAAAAGGAGTTCATACAACGTTAAACAACTTTGTTTTCAGCACGTGAGTCTCAAAAGTGATTTCACTTTCCTTGCTGAGAGAATCTGAAAGGTAAGTAGCTTTCACTCAAAGCACCTGGAAAAAATTAACCTAAATGAAAGTGTTCCCAGACAAGAAATGGTGAGAGACTTCAGAGGAAGGAAAAGGAGTTTTTACTCGTAAGGTACAAATATCCTATGTTTATGGGAATGTTTCTGTTAATGTCTCTTAAGGGGACACTCAGCTGTGGGATTATTTTTCAGACCATCCCCACCCGAGGAAAGCCTGCCCTCCCCACAGCCTGTGTCCTCACGGCTCCCTTGCTCATCCAGGGGGTCAGGGAAGGAGGGAGCAGCCAGGGGCAGTTTGCTGCAGCCCCCAACAGCTGCACTTGTGGAGGGGATGCCCAGGAAACACAGGGATTCCTGGAGGCTCCCCCTCTCCTGTGGACACGGATGCTCTGGGCACACCCGTGTGCAGCAGACACACCTGGGGCCTTTAATGCCCTGCAGAATGACTCTGTTTTCCCTGGAATGTTCTATCCACCATCCCAATCCAAAGCCCTGTGCCTGCTATTTCACTGTTCACTGTAACTACAGGGAGGGCCAGGTCAGTGCTCCTGGAAGAAGGATGGGGCCCACGGGAGCATCCCTGAGTGCCAGGGTACAGCCCAAACATCTCCCCTGGCACTGCCAGGCCAGGGACAAAGCAGGACCTTTGCTCAGAAATGACAGACACAGATGGGCTTTGATCAGACAGAATCAGGGGCAGGTTTTACTTTTCACATAATTTTCTGTATTAAAAAATACATCAGTGAAATCTGTTACAGGCAGGGACAGGACTACCGAGTACACAACGTCAATAGACTACTTTCTGATTTTATTTTTGTTAAATTACTTTCGTAACTGCTAAAAAAATAATTAAAAAACAAAAAAACCCAACCAACCAAAACAAAACAAAACAAAAAAAAAGGAAATATAATTCAAGGCTGTTGATTTTTTTTTCTCTTGAAACTTTAGTGACAAGCTCAAATATCAGACCCCTGTTACAGAAGATGGATAACTGACCAGAGCTAGATAAAAACCATACAATTCTCTTCTTTAAAAATAGTTTGGGTTTCCAATGAATTTGTGATCACTGGTCATCAGAAACACACGTCTAGAGCTTGAGAAAACAGAGCTACAGAGAGTATCTGATAATGTCCTGTCCTCTAAACACCACGTGGGAGCTTTTCTCTTCTAAAAGACTCAGTAACAGCCAAGCCTTAAAAAAATCTCTTTCAATTTCCAACACTATGACTAAATCTCTTTGGGTGGGGTGGGAAAAAAAAACACACATGGTTATTTTCTACCACAGTTCCGGTGTCAGAAGTAATACTGCATCCTTTGCACAACACTGCAAAGGTGGAAAGAGAAAGAGTGTGTGTGTATTTCTGTTTGAAATGACAAAGCCCTCTCCGGATTCACCTCACAAAATAACCCAAACAGCAGGAGGAGGGAAAGAGGAGAAAGGAAAAGCTGCCTTAAGGGAAAAAAACCTTCTGTGCACCACAGGATTGGGTGGACTGCAAGGACAGAGTGCAGAGCTCCTGGGCTGGGGAAGGGACTGCACAGGGCCCAGGATCCCCTGCTGTCCATCCCCCGGATCTGCCCTACAGCACCTCTTCCAGCAGAGGAGAGCCCGGAGTGAGAGCCGGAGTCTGGCCTCCTGTGACCATCCCACAGCAGCCAGAGTTGTCCATCTGGATGGCCAGTGGCTCCTGCCTTCCTAACACTTGATCCCAGATTAAAAAAAAACTATAAGAGTGTATGTGTAGGTGTATTTATAACGGAAGGTGTCTGTCTGTCTAAACCTCACCCCTTTCTCTCGGATCCTTGGGAAGATCCTCGTGTTCCCTGGCAGCAAGGACTGCCAGCCAGCAGGCTGGGCAGTCACCTGAGCCACAGCCTAGCTCTCCGTGCCCAACAGTGTGAGGGGAGATTTTACACAACCATTTGCCTTAAAAATATCTCACAACTTTTAAAAAATCCTAAACAGATAAAGGATTTATGCACCACTCCAATAGGTGAGTTCCACTTGGATTTGTTCTGAGGATTGGTCGGTGCCACAGGACGTCGGGTTTTGCAGCTTACACAGCTTGCTTCCTTCCAGTTCCAGTTTGTACATCCACTGTGGTACAAAATCTGCCTGTAGGTGACATTTTCTTGGCCTATTT